TCCACTGTTTTGTAGTGTTCCCTTTATTTGCCCCTTTTAAAGCTGTTTTTCTCCAACCTGGGAAAAAAAGAGTTTTCTGACATCTAATGCTATTCAACACTAAATCTGAGGTCCACCTGGATTTTAAAGAAAATTAATCTGAGACAAATACTGAATTACGTCCTTTACTGGAGTCAGGGGAGCAGCCTGAATTATCCTAGAGACAGACTCATTCTTATTTTGATTTTCCTAACCCCGCTAGAAAATTTCAACATCAGCAGGAGCTGAGACAGGCATTCTGGAAAACCATCTCCCTGTGAGTGTGAAAATCAGGCATTCAATAAAAGAAAAACTTCATTTTTAACTGTAAATTAATTATCACAATCGCATAAGAAAAACATAAAACAAGATAATTATGACATTAAATCAGTTTTGATGATGCCAGTTTCAACTCAATGTCAAAGTGACTAAAAATAATAAATACCCGTGCAGTTGCATTAAAAAAAAATTAAAAATAAGTCTCTAGTTTTGATGAAAGAGCTTGTCGTTTTTGAACTAGCCATCACAACTTTGCAATAGGGTCTATTATTGTTACACATATTTTATTTTCACTGTGAGAGCTGACTTTTGCCAAAACCAGACCTGAGCCTGGACTCAAGACCATCTTCTCCCAATGTTTCAGTCATCTGGACCCCAACACATGTGAAGGTGCAACCTGCTGCTGATCTCTGAAGAACCCTCATAGGAAGAGGATAAACACACCTGGAATATCAGCACAGGGTCAAGACCTTTATGCCACTCAGACAGCAAGATCTGTTCAGACAAAGAATCTCTGCATTCCAGGGCTCAGATGATTTATTCTGGTCTCCTCGGAGATGCTGTGTGGATGATTTGTCTTTTGAGTTACAAAATACTTGAAGAAAAAATTATAAGGCATGGCATTTGTAATGAGAAAACAAATATTTGGGGTCATACATAGCTACCACAAGACACTTGGCCAACTGGAGGAACACAGGAGTTTTGCCATACAAGTTCTCACTGGTAACAAATTTAATGCACTGCACCTCTCAAAAGGAACTACTTAAATTGACCACCGAGATTCACTGCCATTGTGAATACAGGTTCAAACTTTTTCTTTAAAGAATGATGGATAACTCCCTTAAATGCGATCCCATGTTTCCAAGTAAAATAGTCGGTGTGGTAAGTTAAGACAGATAGAAATGAGTTTAAAATGTTGCCTGGGATTTACAGCAGCTTTTGTAGTGTAGCTCACTAGGGGCTGTTGGGGAAATGAAGTATGTGCTGACAGGCAAAGTTCTGTCCAAAGAGGAAACTGAGAAGATGGTAAGCAAAGGTACCTTGTGGTCTACGCATCAGTGAATGGCACTGAGATGGTCTTAGCCAAAAGGAAGTGATACTGGCTAGGAAACAATGGCCAATTTTTTTGTGAAGATGTTGTTCCCAGCCAAAATCATGAGGAGGCTGAATAAGTATGAAGCGATTACACGAAGACAGAGAATTTGCTAAACTTGACAGCAGATGACACTGACAGGATAAAAGCATGGTAATGGACACTGGGACCAGAAATTCTCAGTACTCATATTTGTCAATGGTATGTAAATTAACTGTGACAATACAGTTAAAAGAAAGACATGACAAAGACAGACATGACAATGGGCAGCTGAGTGAAATCATCTGCTTCAAATAAAGGGCCTCTTATTTTCTTTCAGGGCAAGGCAAAAGATTGCAGGAGCTGCTTGTGAAACGTTTCTATGGTCTACTTTGTGCATTGGGACATTGCTGTTTTAATCACCTCAGAGCCTCATTTGACATATGGTGTAGGCATGTGAGGAAATGTGTGGAGGGAGAAGGTGCTCAGGGTATAGCTGTCTGCAGTAAGATTTGCAGTCAGTCGTAGCTTTTACCAGCTTGTTTCTTCCCACTGGCAGCTCCAGATCCCACAGCTCAACTAAGTCTTTCACAGTGTCATTGTGGTGCTAACGTCTGTGAGAATTTGTGACTGTATTGAAACAATCATGCTGGCTTCCTGTCACAGCAGATCTTGACATCTGGAGGAAATATTCGTAGCTAAAGGCACAGGCAAAGCTACATCAACATCTGTAACAAACTATGAGTCACAATACTCTTGCAATATTTCTGGTATAACATGAAGTAATAAAAAAACAATAGTGTTCATGCTGTCACTCAAACGAGGCTCCGTAACGCATTCAGGGTACTTTTCCAGTATGAGGAGGTGTTTGTATGGAGGTCTAAGAAGCAGATGTGCAAATCTGTTGTTCACTGACACCATCTTTCTCAAATTGCCTCTTCACACCACACATTGTTAACATTTTGGGAACTCACTTTCATAACCTGTTGCAGGGGGCACAAAAGGGAATAAAAAACCATAGTAAATCATAGTGGATGTATCAATGTAGTTGGCTTCCATTCACTTGTTCAAAATTTCACATAATTCTTAAAGGTTTCCAGAAGGGAAAGGGGAAGGCAAGAATCATTCTGTAGATTTTTTTAGGTTTCAAAATTGTTCTTTCTCAAAATAAAGATGAAGCATACTAATCTGAAGAAAATTATGTACACAAGGAAGATTTAACAGGATTTTGTTCATTGGGGAATGTTTAAACATTTTCAAAACATGCTATTTTAATTATCTGATATAAAAAGTTGTTAAACTGTCTTTACAATATATCTAAGCTTATTTTCATGATTTTAAGACTAGCTGGAAATTAAGCACCACACAGCTGCTCACTCGCCCTCCCACTCCTCCCACCCCATCCTGGTGGAATGGGGAGTAGAATAAAAGTAAAACTTGTATGTTGAGATAAGAACAGTTTAATAATTGAAAAAAGTAAAATACAGTAATAACAATAAAAAGGGAGGGAAAAAGTGATGCACAATGCAATTGCTCACCACCTGTTGACCATCTGATCCTCCTTCTTGAACCCAGACTGGCCAGGATACTTACATATAAAAACTAGTCCTGTCACAGAAAAAAATAAAACTACTATTTAAAAATGTAATTAAACAGGATGAATAGCAACCACAAAAGATATTTTAAATGGGAGTAGACATACAGGAGCCACCTGTATCTCTTACAGAAAGCTTTTATAAGGTGCTGTTACATTCTGACGTTAAAACAAGTACTTGCTAAAATTTCCTAAATAGATCTAGGAAGAAGATGCTGCCAACAGGCATCTTCAGGCATTCAGGTTTACATGACCACATAGAACTTGAGACTCAAAAGATGATGTTCTCAGCTTCATCATTCACTGTCCAGCTCTGTAGATATTCTCAGTTCAGTCAGAGAGAAAAAGATTTCTGCCAGGCTAAGCCTGGGAAAAAGTCCAGGAGGAATGTAAACTATCTTCCTATATTACCTTGTTTGCCATTCATATTGTTTATAGATATGTTCTACCACACTGACCTAAGTCCAGTGTACCAATCAAGTGAGATGATTTTACTTTAAGACCAATAGAATTAATGTTCATGATGCTGTCTAGAAAAGAGAGAGGTGCTTTTGAATAAACAATCATTTGCCTTCTGAAGTCATACGAGTAATTTCGCCCATCCCTGGCTTAACAGCACCATAGCTCCAGAAACATTTGCTCTTTCCCTGGCTTCTGATGGTCAGCCATATCATTTGTGGTGGCCCTGGTGCTGAGCGAGGAAGATTTTGGTGGTGAAATACTTCAGGGCCCCATAATGACTTCCCTTTTTGGATGGGTTAGCTGCCAAGAGTAAAAAGGCTCTGGAAGAACATACTTGGGCTTGCTGGATGAGCAGAGAGTGGGACCAGACTTGCGAGTTTCAAAGAATTAAAGCCTTAGTTCAAACATATACAAGAATTGTTTCAGTCATCACACACCAGTAACTGTGCTAGGGAGGGCTTGTTACACCATATCACTGTGAGCCCCACAAGGTAGGGTCTCTCCCTTTTCAGCCAGGCTGGATGGGATACAAGCATCTTGACCATGGTGCTATGTACAGAATAAGTTTGTTTATTTCAGCCTGAGAAAAGAAAATGTTGTTAAATCTAATATAAATTAGTTTGTATACTCTATATGAAAATACAGATTGTTCTAGATATTGTTCAGATTCATAACTCAGGCTGTTAAATAGAGATTGCTTCCCTTGAAAATGTTGCTATGCTGATCTGCTGCTATATGCTAAATGTCTGGGGGTAGGAGACACTTTTCAATCACTGTGCTGGTGTCAGATTTTTTTTGGTTTTCATTATTGGCACATTCAATTCACAGGATGATCTAAAAAAAGAGAAACTTGTGGAACTCAGCCAAAATTATGTTACTGGGTTTGATTACCCCTGATTATGATTAGGAATTGAAATTAATATTCATGCTGTATTTGTTTCTCCAACTTTTCACATTTAATGCATTTTAAATCAGCTACACTGGCATCATCTGCATGAAATAGTTGCACAAATGGCCAGGATTCTCTAGTCATCTTAGTCATGCAAAGCATAGTCTCTTTAGAGGGACAATGTTTTTTCTTCCATTGGCAGAGTAGAGTTGTCCATCTCTTCTGGGATGTGAATGTGACTAGCAATTCAAAGTGGTAGTTAATTTTAAACTGTCTCATTCAGAAAACCTGAGATGTTGAGACATCCTCAGATTTTTTGCATTGCATCAGATGGCTTACAAGCAGCACATTCCTAATGACATATATTTAAAAAGAAACTGCCTGAGACAACTTGTCAGAAGTTTTAGTGCAAGTTGAAGATAAGGCATAAATGAATATAAAACACTCTCTAAAATCACGGAATAATTCTGATTGGAAAGAAAATATCAGGATCATCTGGTGCAACCTTCTGCTCAAGCAGAGCTAGAGTGAGTTTCCCAGGTCTATGTCCAGGCAGCTATTGAGTATCTCCAAAGACAGAAACTCCACAACTTTTCTGCTCTCTTTTAGTGTTTGACCACTTGCCCACTTCCACAATATGAAAAGTGCCTCCTTGTGCTCAGTTTTCTTTTCTTTTTTTTTTTTTTTTAAATTTTTTTCATTTGGTACCCATTGCTTTTTGTGCTGTCACTGGGCACAAGTGAGGACATCTTGGCTCCCTCATCTTCATTCTCTGCCATCAGGTATTTAAATATGTTGATGGGATACTCCTGAGTCTTCTCTTCTCCAGGCTGAAACTGTTCCAGCTGTATCACTCCCATATAAAAGATGCTCCAGTCCCAGGAACACCTTTGTAAAAAACAGAAATACCTTAATAGGACAAGAGGAAATGTCCTCAAGTTACTCCAGAAGTAGTTTGAATTAGACATTAGGATCCAGTCCTTCATAGAAAGGGTTGTAAATAATTTGAACAGACTGCCCAAGGAAGTGGTGTAGTCACCATTCCTGGAAGCACTCAGAAAACTTGAGGACATGGTTTATTGGTGTACATGGTGGTATCACTAGGTTGGTGCTGAGACTTGATGATCCTAAACATTTTTTCTAACCTTACCAATTCTGTGATTCCATGTCCCTTTGTTGGACTCAAAGCAGCATGTCCATGTCTTTCTTCTGCTGGGGAGCTCAGAACTGGACCCAGCACTTCAGGTATTTTCCCCAGTACTGAGTAGAGGGAAAGGATCACATCCCTCTGTGGTCTGATGATCCTTTTCCTCATAAGATACTACTGGCAGCCTTTGCCATGAAGTCCTGGCTCACAGTCCCCATTATTTTATATTAATATTACTATGGTTTGCCATTCAATTCACTGCTTTCATAGAGTAATAAGTGGCCTGACTTAATTAAAAAGGATATAGAGATATTTAAAATATTTTTTAAGGTATGGCTAAGTGAAGTTTAATTAAAAGAAAGCAATCTATCACTTACCTAACCTAAATTTTTTTATTATAGAATTTGGACAAAACCCATTCTGCAGATTATAAAGCATGCAGTGGGTTAAGGCCTCTGAAAATATGCAATATAATAGAATTACAATTACAATCCAGTGGTCCTCAAAATGTAGGTCTTCTCAGTAACAACAAGGCTTCCCCTATTTCTCAGTCAGGGCCCTGATTCAGAAGAACTTGTGATAGTCCCCCTTTTCTTCATTTTGAGTCAAATTAATATACTATACTAAAGAAAAATGTCAAATTCATATGAAGGTGCTTAACCTTGGAGGACACTGGAGCAACAGTGTCATTAACAAGGAAAAACAACTCCAGAGTTACAGTGTTGGCATCTCTGACATTTCTCATTGATAGTTTGAGAAATTTCTTCACTAATGTGAAAACATAAAACCAGAGAGATTACAACATTCATACCCTGATCATGCACTCAATCTCTTCACAGAGACATTTAAAATAAAAAAGTTCTCAAGTGTGAAAGTTATATAAATTAGGTGTAGGTAAGAATCCCAAGTAAAATGTGAAGCTAAGTAATAAACCCAAGTCATTACAACTTTTCCACATAGATATACTTTTTGCCTTGAAGGTCTGTCTGGTATTAATTTACAACTGGAAAAAAATGCTTGAATAGCATAGTCACAAACCCAGAACAAATATTTCCAGTCAATCATATTTTCCCCTGCTTCTTATTTTTTATAGTAAGGGTCTTAGAAACAACATGGATTCCTGTCTCTTCATGAACCATCATCAAAATAAGACAATTGTTTTTCTCTTTTCTTTGCTCACCTCCCTGTCCTTGCCTGCATTTAGCTGAATGAAAGAAACTAGGGTTTTAATTTATACACAGGATATATTTTCTCAAGAGAAAGAAAAAGAGGTGGAAATTAAAAATAAGAGAGAAAGAAATTACAAATATGGACCATTTGGGGCACAGTCTACACTTTAGTGAAGGAGAAAGTGCATTGTCTGCACCTTATCTGAAATACTCTCTAGGACACCCTGAGATAACAGATCCTACAGGTGCTCCAGCCATGGAGTAGACCTATCAGTCATGTCTACTAACCCATTTTAGAAAAATTCTCTACCAGATGGGATGCATTAGCATAAGTTCATTACTTTCAGATGTGTTATTGAAGTTCACTGGTCAGTCTCCTCTTAACTCAGCAATGAGATTTCTCAAAGAGGGACTATGAAAGCATACACAATATTGCCCAAAGTAGCTTTGCTCTGCAGTCAAGGGCTGTCTCCACAGTCACAAGACATAAACCTGGAGACACTAAAATATTTTGTACTGTCATATCTGACTTCAGCATCAACAGATTAATTTTTCCCTGAATACTCTCTGGTTCCCTGGTTAGCAAGGTAATTGAGAACATTCAGCAGACAGTATTTATTGTTATGATATCTCCCACTAAATATTCTAGTATGACAGTAGACCTTTTCAGAAAACAAATCAATGCAACAACTAAATTTCATGACATTGAAAATAAAAAAATCCTTTTTTTACCTGCTTTCTTTGACTTGCTAATCATAATCATATAATATTATGTATAAAGGTGATTAAGCATAGGACTACTGTCAGACTCCAGATTCAGTGTACAGCTTTATTCAGTACATATTTCATCCTGTTTTCTTTCTTCTTATGTTCCTTCCATTCCTTGTTCTGATTCTTGCAGGTGTGTCCTGTCCAGTGAAATCCTAGAATCTTCTCATTTGGATTAGCTCATATGTAGAATCTTCAGGGTAGTAAAACCCAGGGTCTTGACTTCCCTCCTCTCTGCCTCTGTGGTGACAGAAAGATAGATAAATAAACTCATAAGACACCTTTCCATGACTCAGTTAATGGGATTAGATTAATTGCTTAGTTTTCATCATCACTCAGAGATCATGACAAAGGGTGATTGTCCCTGGCTCCTTTCCTTCTGCTAGAGGAAAGACAGGCTCCAGCATTTATTTCTTCCAGACTGGACTGGGATAGCACAGGGGACCAGCAACATATCACTTGCAATGGATAACTATCATTTTCATCATTCAGACACATGAATAACCTATGTGCACAGATTTAAAGATTAGATGAAATGAAAACGTTGCTGCTGTAGGCTTCAGTATCTTTCTTGCTGAACTGGATGATGGTGATGCTACTCTTACTGATGAGTCCACCGAGCAGACTATAATCCAGAAAGTCTAGAGGACTAGGGTGTGAAGCTTGGCCTAATATAGGATGAAGTTCAAATAGATGAGGCAAAGAATAATTTTAAATTTGCTGCAAGGAAACACACCAAGAGTGAGGAGAGTCCTTTTTTAGGTAAACCAGTTCACAGCAAATGGTCCCACAAGAAGTGTCTGTTATGGTGTGACTGGGATCCCTAGGCCATCTCCAAATAACTGATGCAACTCTAAGGAGAAAGTAGAGCTGAACAGATATATTGGTTTGGAGTTCAAGTGGAAGAGTTGTGGTAATGTGTCATAGAGTCCAGATGCTTATTAACTCCTGTCTCCACATCTCTCTCACCCAATATTAGCTTAGGCGTTTTATTACACAGAGGTGTATGTTTATCCTTCAGGGAATTTCTGCTCTGCTGGGGATACACATATGAGTAATTCCTTTCTATTCAGTACAAATGGGCTGGCAAGAAGCTGCAGAAAACTGCAAGAGTTTAATTAGTTGGTTTCATGATATTATTTTCAAAATATTTTCCCCAAGGCACATAGTTCTGTATTGCCGGCTGAAGCCTTATCCTTGGCTTCTGAGTATTCTGCTAAAGTGCCATGGATTCAGTTTGATGCCATCTTGCAAGACAAGCACTAATGAGACTTTGATGAACACTTGGACACACACTTAGATGAAAGCCCCACTAAAGAAAAACAGAGTTTTAGTTTGCTGCTAAAGAAAAACAGAGTTTTTATTTTCATTTGGCTGGCTTTGGATAAAACCTTTAGCATTGTCAAAAGCTGTGAGATATTTCACTTTAAAAATATGAAAATATGTCAGACACAGTCAATAAACATACTGATAATGTAATAAATAAAAATTGTTTGCTATAAACCATACTGGGATTCAAACAGCTAAACTTTATGAAAACAGTATAATGGTGAATAAATCTTCACTGACAAGTGTAATTTGAGGCAACAAAAATGATTGTAGCTTTTCTTTCATCTCAAAGCAATGGCTACCACCAGAGTTCTTCATTATCACTACTATATTTTATATAATAAATTACCTTTAAAATGGTTATTATATACATATATATATATTACTAAAAATTCTGATAGTCAACAGATTATGCAAGAGTAAGATATCACTCACTGGGAACATCCATAGTAGAAGCTTCTATCCTGAAGTTTGTGCTTTATCTTTATTGGCTGAATATTTAATTTGCTTTCTATCATGAGAAGAATAAATTCTATTTAAAAAAAAAAAAGGAAAGGAAAGGAAACATAGCCTCAAGAGCACTTGTGATAAAGAAAGAACTAGCCAAAAAATTGCCATATATTTCTACCTGCTGTTACATTGAGCTTATATTATTTGTGAACTGTGACTTGGACAGTGTGTATTCACAATGCTAAAGGGTGGCAGAAATTCTCACATCTCCTTGTGGCCATCTAGATATGAACAGGGTGTTAAAGGGGAAGATTTATAGATCTTTGAAATACCTCTCCTACACCCCAAAATCCACAAACCAGAAGGCTGAAAGGATGCTGGTGGAGAGTGGATAAGAGGGCTGGGGTGGTGTTGGTCTTTGTCCTCCACAAATGTGCTGTCCAAGACAGCTGGACTAGTTCAAGAGATTTCTAATTTACTTTTGGGACAGACTAATCAAACAGCTACATGCTTTCCACCTACAATGAGAGATATCTGCTGCAAAGGTTTCTGGCTGGTTCATGTTGTACTCTATCTCAGGAACAGGACTAAGTCTGTACAAACACCTACATAAATATTAGAGCTACTATCAACCAATTTGTATCACAGTAATGGCGTTGATTTTCACTGGAAATATACTGGCTATACGTCAGCTGGGTTGCAAATTAATTTCTTTGCTGAAGCGTAAGTATTTAGGGACAGGCTTCAGGAGAAGAAATGTGCAGAAGTAACATATAAGAAGAATTTTATAAAGGCTTTATCAGCTTCTGAAAGACATCACTGTAGGGAACAATTTTATGAAGGACAATTCTGTCTGCAAGGCCTACTGTTCTTGTCAACATCAGATACTAAATTCTTTTTCTTTCTTTTTTAAATTTAGAAATTGGCAACTCCTCCTCCAATTACATGCTTAGAAATGGTGTAATTCCAATGGAGCACAAACAACATATTTAGCCCCTGAAAAAGTAGAGAACTTTGGGAAAAAAATTACACATCTTAGGCTATCCCAGAGGAGTCTGTTTGACTATAGCCATTAACTGCTGCATTTATTTTCTCAAAGTAGGTGCAGGGACCTTACAGGGACATCTAGGAACTGCTTTTGCTGTACAATAGGACAATCAACAAGAAACTATCCCTCTATTAAAACACACTTTTTTGTTCTTGCTGCTTGCATTGAAATAGAATTCAGTTTTATCATGACAAATGGGAAAGATCCTACTGATCTTGGTGCCCTTTGAATCTGATCTATTAGGGCTAGGTCAATTCCAATTGACAATTTTTTCTCTGTTATTCTTGTGAAGTTTTGCTCCAGCAAACCTTGTGTCTCCTTGGACACTTCATTCCTTGCCTCCAAGTATTCTGTTCACCTTCTCCAACAGTGTCTTTTCAACATGAACTGTTTTCAGGTTCATTTTTCTCTTGAGCACTGCAGATGGAACAGGGTACCACAGTTAGATGACGTATAGAGTCCCTGTTGATTTCAGATTGCTTACAGATTTCTGCTAGTTCCTGTGGTTTGCTTCATGAATCATGCCAGCCTAATCTTTGATGCTATGAAAGAGCTCTGTGCCCTGGGGATGGCTTAGGAATAAAACCAAAAGCAAGATCTAGTGAATGGGCTCAGTATGGCAGAAGAGTATGATTTGCAAATAAAAAATATATATAATCCAAAATTAATTCACTTTAAGAAAGGATTTCTATTAGCTATACTGAATCATATTCCTATGTAATTGAAAGAGTCTCTTAATATAACTTCCCTCAGACCTGCTGGAACCTGTTTACAAAGTGAACTTCGGCTAAAATGCAGCTGGGACTGACAAGGAAACAGGCAGATCAAGCATAGTGTTCTTGGGCTTTCTTCCCACAGCAGTGTATTGTGGGGTGATGTCATTCTGATTTGCTACGGTGGATTTTTCTGAAGAAAAGACAAAATAGAAAAGGGTAGGGAGGCAAGAGGAAAGGATGACTGAACATGAGTGGCTATCTTAGGCCAGCCTTAGACCAGTCTAGACTAGAGGTTGGTAGGAAAGGAATTAAAAATAACAAGCATATGATTTTACTTTTCTTTGTATAGCCCTTTCAGCTTCAGATATTTGTTGACCAAGATGCTTCTTGCTTGTTGCATTGAAATAGAATTCAGTTTTATCATGACAAATGGGAAAGATCCTACTGATCTTGGTGCCCTTTGAATCTGATCTATTAGGGCTGGGTCAATTATTGTTAATTAGTGTTCTTATTATTGTATCTTTACATTCAATATAAAAAAAAAAAAGGAAGGCAGCAATGAGAGTGAAATAATAGCAAAGGTATTGCACAAATAATGACTTGAAAATTCACATGGTGCTCAGGAAACAAGGCTATGATGACCTTATTTTCTATTCTTATCTGACTTAATCAGAACACTTTTAGGGCAAAAAAATTAAAGTCAGGGCAGTATCCTGGAAAATCCTTGCAGACTGCTCTAGTTGAAGAGGTATGATATTTTGAATATGCAATAACCTCTTCTTAGGTTATAAATGCTGTCTCTCTGTACTTTTCATGCTCACCCTCCACCTCTCTTTTCTGATTTTGGCTGGAGTAGAGTTAATTTTCTTCACAGTGGTAAGTGTGGCAGGGGGAAGGTGGGGTTTGTGCTGAACTCAAGTTTGATAATATAGAGATGTTTTTGTTAATCTTGAGCAAAGATTGCACAGAATACCAGGTTTTTCTGCTTCTCATGCCACCCCACCAGTGAGGAGGCTGGGGATGTGCAAGAAATTTTGAGGGAACATAGCTATATCTAAATGTGATACTCTTTTGTAAAGGAGACGAAGGCAAACAGCACAGGCGAGGTCTTCAAAATTACAACTTCCCCTAAATTTGCACCTTAAGCCCAGGGACAATGCAGGGGAACCTCAACCATGGGACACTTTTCACATTGCTTCTGCAGCAGCTGTCTTCTCTTGAAGGTGCTCTGGCTGCATGATGTACCTCCAGGAAGTGAAATATAGAGAGACAACCCTATAGCTTCATATGGGGGGAAGACAACACTATAGTCTGCACTGTGGAATAGCTCAGGCCAGAATTTTCCCCCTTTTGGGCTTACTGAAGCTCATCCAAATCATAACTCAACCTCAGCATGTAGTGTGGACATGTGGCCACTTCCAGCACAAGCAAGGTTTGTTTGTGCCCAGGTGCAGCACAGAGATGGTGCACACACAGAATGGGTGCACACAGAGAATGAGTGCACAAGCATGGCTACAAGATTTTGCAAAGAGGTGGGTTTTGCCTTGTGTGTCTATGACAGCATTAAGCCTTTCCTCTTATGTTCTAAGTAAAAAACTAAATATTAACTTGACTTTGCTAAAATTATACTTAAAATATGAAGCTACATGCTGTAAAGTTTCATTAAAATGCATGCCAATATGCATTTGCTAAAGGAA